CAGGCTTACTCTTTAAAATTATTCTCTAAGAAATGCTCACTCTAGCTGAGATATAGCACTGTTGCATTTCAGACTGGAATTCAGACAAAGGAATTCCAACTTGGCTTTTTTGAATACAGTTTGCAACGGTAAGGGACAATATAATCTCATTTTCTAACGAACCACATTAACTCTGGAAGATGGCATTACTTCTAAGATTACTTGGATCACTCAGGTAATAATCTAATTGTGCTGAGTCATGATTACAAGATATTAATTACTCATTTGGTAAGTTATTTTTGTTTTTAATTTCCCTGGAGATTTATGTGCTAGATTTACAGTCACGTACCCAATTACAGTTAAGCCGCTGTAGCCAAAATGACTCCACAAATGGTATTATGCAAATCAGTTACAGTAAATCACTGTGGCTCTCATAAGCAGCAAAAGTTATTGCTACCCTTTTGCATACTCATAACTTTCTGAACAACTAATTTCAGCTAAAATCGCTTGCTGTCTTGTGCTACAACAAAGTCTGAATAAAATCTGTTCCCCTTCTCTAGGAAATAATGGAAAATAAGAGGAAAATTTCACTTTATTTCTGCAAAGATGCGTGTGCTTGTATGTGTGTTCTTCTAGAGACCAGTCTCCACCTAGTTGAAATCCTGACATAAGCCTTTGTAGCTTCAGAAACACAAAGGCTATTTTCATGAGAGCATCTCTGCAGCTAAGCCTTCCAGATGGCACACTGCAAGACCAGCCCACAAGCCCCCAAAACATATTATCAATATTAATTATGTAGATGAGGCTTTGGACTACTCCCCCCAAGGAGATGATGGAATTTTTAAAGCCCTGACTCACAAACTGACTCACAAACTGAAGCTGCCTCTGGACTTGCTGAACATGCCCATTTGTCAATGAGAAAGAGGGTCATCTCCTATCTCATCACTTAAACTTTAGCATGGTTCAGCTGCCATTCTCTTACTTTAGGACAAAAAAAAATGCCTCTAGCATCCTGGCCATTTTCTCTGCTTTGCCTGGAAAAATGTGCCAGGCTTAAAGGCGTATATATATATTTAGGGGGGAAAGGCTGGGCAAAGAAATGTCAGGAGCTGCCAGCGCCACACAGGCATGGGAAAGCAATAGTCAGTAATGGTCACTTTACCACGGAGGCAGTTAAGGAGACGGTTGCTGCTATTTCATAGTAGGTTGTCCACTCGGAGGTCATCGTTGATGGGTTGAAGTAAAACATTTCTACAACATATTTCCTAAACACCCCAAGGAAAGGTCTGTTCCAGCTCAAAACCACAGCAGTAGGTCCCAAAGGGTAAAGCGTCAGATCCTTTATTCCAGTGGGCACTATAAACCAGAAACTGTGATTAGTAATGTGTGTGTTATCAGTTACACTTTCTTTTAAAACAATATTTTTCCTTAACCGAGTTCTACCTATTTCTGGTTTGTTCCTGACTAATTTCCAGGAGCTTCCTTGTTACAAGCAAGCAATACATTTTTTCAGCATTTGTTCTCCAGTTTGTTATGTCTACTTCTTCAGAAATTACTACAGGCTACTTGGTGTTGGCTGCTTAGCCTGAGATAAAGTACAGGGCTTCCTTTTTCATAAATGGATGGTTCCATTCTACTTTGAAAATCAGGATGTTTAGGAGATATTTCAAATTGCTCAAAAACAAAAGCATCAAAAGCCATAACACTTTGGAAGATGAAGACTATGAGGAAGAACAGTTTTCATGTCTAGCCCTCCTTCCCTGGGGAATCTAAAGGTGCTGTCATGTATCGCTATTCTTGCCTCACAGATGATGACACTGAGAAAGGGGAGTCAAGCGATTTGAAAAATGTCACATAAGGGTCAACGTCTGCAACCATTACTTGTCTGAAAAGCAATTATTCTTCATGACTTAACTGAGGCTACTTAAATAAGTACTTTGCTAACATTTGCAAGGGTTGCATAGTCCCATCTATTGCATGCCAGGTCAGAGCCGAGACCAGCACCCACATTACTTCAGTCCATGTTAGCACATGATTGCCTTTCCCTTCATAAATCATTCACCACATCTTTGCTTTGCTTTGCTTTCCCAAAAGTGTTAATACTCCCTCAGTGAAAGTGAGGCTTAGGATAAACATGCAGAGAAATGAGTACTTTTTAAAGTGCATTTTATCTTATTTCAATTTCATTCATCATGAACCACCACTGATAATTTCACATAACAGTTTGTTTTGCAGCTCTACTATTTTAATATCAAATTCAATATCCTGTTATGAAATGAAAACTCAAGATCCACCATTAAACTCAAGAAAGTCAAGGCATACACAACTGAAGTTGGTGATGGTCTTGTAGTAGTGCAGGAGATAAGCCAACTCTCCTGGCTCTTAGCACTGTGGCCTTCAGACTGGGCCACATTACATCCTTCATAAAGCACATTTGCAACAAATGTCTTAACAGCAGTCAACACACTTCATGAGACAGTGGGAATGAATCACCTCTAGGAAGTGCCTCTCTCCACGCACCACAGACCACCTGCAGGCTGGCTACACCTAAGTGACGTGACTCCCACCCTAAACGACACATACCATGAGCACTGCTAGAGACAAAAATATATATTCAGGTCTCCAAAAGTGAAGACAGTTCTCTCCACAGTGCACTCTGTGTGTGAATCCTGGCCATGACTGCTCTCTAGTTGGGTTTGTTAATAACTTAACATTTAAATGTGAAATATCTATCTTCCACTGAAGGAGTATTTTCCCCACCTCAGTAATGGGCTAGACAATACAAGAAAAATATTCTCAATAAATGTTCATTGCATTTGAAATAACCAATATGACAATTTTGTACTCCTTCATGGGCTCTAGGGCTTAATAAATACACTACACATATTTAAAAACAAAACAAACATTTCAAACAGTAGATGCAGGGGTTACCAATGGAAAATGTAACAGGATCAGAAGGCGGTCCAACCAACGGTCCTTTCCGTAAGTAAACCACAACTTGGTACTGGGCACCAGGAACAAGATTTTCAATGAGGTTGCTGCTTGAATTTACCTAATGGGGGCAGGAGGAAACACATTGGATGTGAAGTATTTACTTGATTAATTAAAAGAATATTGAGACTGTACTTGAACTACTCCAGTTACAAAAGGCATGATTATGAGCACACTGGCATCAGCAGCTAAAACTCCATTCATTAAGCCCAAAATGGCAAAACTGAGAAGGCGTTCAGGACTGACTTGACAAATGATCTCAGAGACTCACACTTGCCTTGCTGCGTAAGGTCAGCTGTCACACTGTAGACCCACTCTCTCCTACTATCAAAGTTTATTGAAATATTCAGGCTACATTATTCATATTCAGGTGATATTATTCAGGCTGGAGTATTTAGATTGTGTGTTTTCAATAAAAGCCTGAGGCTTTTCATCGGCCATCTGATTCATCTGCAGCGATGTGAGCTGAAGGCAGCGTTATGGGAAAGCTGTCTTCTGAATGCGTGTGTTAAGCGACTGCATGGTGAAATCAGAGGAGAATTACTCTCTTTCACCTCCCCTGCACAGTACTACAAAACCTGACTAAGGGACATTGTGATTTTTCTTTTCAGTTTGAAACATTGCCGTTAAAATTTCTGCTGTGCCACACCAAGTTTGAGGCAGAATGCCTGACCAAGTGATTCTTGGTCTGATACAATATGAGAAGTCTTATCTCCCTGAGAGTCAGCTAACAGCAAATGCACAGAGCAGCTTTGGGGAAAGGACTTCACGTGCCCCTTCTAGAACTGCAGGCTGATACTCCCTACTAATACTTTCTTCACAACTTTTCCAAAGTCTGTATGACAGCCACCTTTGCGCTGGTGTTTTACTGCAATGCAAATGAACATATCAGTGCCAGCACTGATTTAGTGAGGAACAGAATTTGTCTTTAACAGCTGCTTTTAACAGCTACAATTTTAACACCACTGTGGTTTACCATACACTTTCACTCCTGAACGCTGTGCTCTCCCCTCCACTCTGCATCAGCTGTGTCCCTTTGGACTGCAGAAGGGAGCACCTACCGCTGTGCTCTGCAGCCCTGAGCCTGATAGGGCCCTTGGGCACAAGCAATTTCTTCCTCTGTTTGAAAAAGCTTCTGCCCCTTACCTCAGTGCAGTAGTGTTTTTCAAGCCTTTGACTTTCCTTTTGCTTCTGACAGGTCAGGGAGACCACAGACACGATGGTGCTGTTGCCGCCGCTCTCTTGTGATGCTGTCCAGGATGTCAGGGCAGTCGTGGAGCTTAGCACCGTCACGGTCACGTGCTGGGGCTTTTCAGTGAGCTCTTCTATCCATTCACCTGTGGGGCCTGGGACATGTCCCAAAAGCACATGTGAGCAAGCCACTCTATGCATTTGAGGCATGTAAGTTAAAACATCCTCCTTTCACGGGATTATTTACTACTAGTGAAAGAGGTTGGACTGACCACAGACCTCAGCCAGTGGAGATGGCAGCCCCCCGGAAGCAGCCTGTGGCTGGTGCTATTTCACCCGTAACAGAGCAGATGACAAGAGAAACATCACTGTTTGAAAATTCAGATTGCAGTATTCTCTACTGCTTACCAGAAACCACCCAGCAATATCAGGTTCACTCCAAGGGAATGTTTAAAAGCAGTGATATGCAATAATGTACAGACTGTTGACAAATATTAAAGGATAAGCACACAAAATTTTTTGCCTCTCCACATACTAACATACCCTCCAAGTATATTATAGCCCTGAAGCATGAAAATCAAGTTCACAGAGGTTACCACAGTAAAGAATCTCATTCTCCATAAGACTTTCTGAAGCACTTGGTAAAGAGCACAGGTTTAAATGTAGATAAAATAACAATTTGGAAAATAACTTCAGCTAGACTTGGTCAAAAATTCAGATTTCATGAAGATCATCAGGTTTTCTTATCCCTTTTAAGTGACACTTGTGACAGCTCTCTCCTTGACATTCCTTCCTTCATGCAATTCTAATGGTACTTTAAGTTTATTGAGAAAATACGATAACTGCCAGAACATGAATTTGGTGCAAAATCAGCCTATAGGATTTGACAATCTGTACTGCTATCTGGGTGCAAAAAAAATGTTGTGTAATACAAGCCAGTAATTTGACATGATGATTCACTAACTGTTACAAGGATGAGATAAAGCTGAAGCTAGGAGCAAAATTTATTCACGACAGCAGACCCATACCTACTCAGGTAAAAACAGGAATTGGATCATTAGATTAGTCTCCGGAGCCAGTGGATGTATGCGTAGCTCTTGCTATTCAGAAATTGTTTCAGCATCAGCATTAAGGGAACTGAGCTACCTCATGTCACGGCCCAAAGTTGTAGTCCCCACACAAAAAGTCTACTTGATCAGACTCATAAAGAGGAATGGAAAAGCAATTTCAGCTTAACAATATTTGTGCATATCTCAGATTTGGCATACTACCAGAAATACATATAAAATCTAGCTAAAATATTAAGGATCTTGCATTTGACAGAATAAGTAAGACAACTGCCAAGAATCCTCATCTGGTTCTAAAAGCTTGTAAAACTAACAGACAAAACTCCCAAAAAACCAAACGTTCTCACGTGTTACATGTAAAATGATAATATTTGTCACATACCTATAAAATCTCAATACTTTACAGCCAATGAGATTCAAGTTCTAGCAATCCATACACCTATACTTTGCATTAACATTTTCCTCATTTCTCTCAGGTCTCTGTCCCCAGTTAGTGGGCTTCATGGAGGACACTATTTCATATTGCTTAATGGAAATAAATCACACCTTGTAAAATGGAATAACATTTGGTACTAATAGCAATACTACGTAATTTATTTGATATATATGTATAGTTATATATACTTTAATGCTTTCCATATAATGAAACTGTCTAATAACTATTCCTAAAGAAAACTGGAAGACAGTGAAATTACAACAGCAGAGACCCTGTCTCTCACTTGCTCTTTCCTATTTTCTCTTTGTTTTCCAAGTGCTGTTTCTATCAACTATAAAGTTGTTAAAAACGTAGGAGTGATAGAGGAATTCAGTTACATGCAGTCAAGCATTATGATGAATTTAAGCCTAAATAGTTAGTATTTGTAAATGTTATGAGCTACTAAACATACAAGTTTTATTAGTAATGTACTTGAGTACGTTTCCTTTTAATATTAATATTTCTGCCAGCCTTAGCTACTGTGTCTTGTTGCAGCATTCGTGATTCGGGGGAGACACTATCCTCCCACATGTAAAATTGTGTGGTGCCGTAAGTATTCCCCTGTTCTCATTGTATGGGTATTTTGTAACCTACATCTATTTCCTTTCGTAAAAAAAGGTACAAGGGTGACCACAGCCATCAGAAGGATAATAATCTGAATTCACCAACACCTGTCTCACTTGCTGATCTAATTGTCAATCATGATACTAGTTTACACACTAGTGTGTTATTACTTTGTCTTTTACTAAATCTTCAGTTAAGAAACCCTGGGATTCTACAGGGAAATAATAAATTACTTTTCCTCCTCTGAATTTAGCAGGCTGAACTACTTCATCTACTGTAATTTGCCCCGTGTTCTCTCAGAGACCATGTAATTTCAGAGCTCAGTGTTTAATTGTGCAATTCCCACACTCTCAGCCTGAGATGCCCTTCATCCCTAACCCGGTACATACAGCCTCCAGGAATCAGGAAGTTAAGTATTTTCAGGAATCTCAATAACCACCGATTTAATTGTCGGAATTAAATCCTCTCTTTGAAAGATGCAAGAGGGGAACCTGTTTCAGCGTACCACTTCTGAACGCTGGGCAATGGCTCTATCAAATACGTCACCTGCTTTCAGTTCTTAGCTCTTCCAAGACAGCACGATGAAGGCCCATCCAGGCAGGATATAATATATGACATATTTCCACTATTCTTCCTTTTCTGGCACAAAGAATTGCAGAAGACCGGACTCTTCTGATCCTGAAGCAGATCCCATAGCTTCCACAGTGGTCAAACTCTGTACATTTAAGTTATATGGGTCTGGGTGAAAGACAGATTTGTTGAGATACTTACTGATGTAGAAGCTAAGTGTTTTTGCTGATTGACTTCCCCGAACTTCACAAGAGCCAGAAGAGCTAAATGTTGTTACAGACAACTTGTATTTTCCTGGTTCTTTCAGTTCAGCAACAAATTTGTGAGTGTCCTCACTTACTGTCAAAAATTCCGTGGAGTTCTCTAAATTGGGGGGGGAAAAGTGTGGATTAATTGAAATTTGAAAGGCTCCAGGCACTGAGAAAATTATTTATATCAGAAATGCTAATACTGTTTCTGCTGTGGGATTAAAAGGTATCCAAAAGGACTGGATTTATGGGAGCAGTTTTATTTCCTGCCATCAGCACAAGAGTAATTAATGACCAAGGTTGCAGTATAGGTGTAGAGGAACAATAAACCCAGGCCAAATTTTCATTCCATAGAAGGGATGATAAAATAGGGTTGCCATGACTGTGCAAGTAAAAAACAGCACAGCATGGAAGAAAAGGAGCTTCTAATTTTCTATCTATTTCATTCTTATTCTGAAAAAAAACCCCACCAAACCCCAAACAGTATTTGTCCTCAGTGTGGGTAGGCTTATGAAAACTGCTTGTCAGGAGATAAAATTCATTTGGATAAAACAGATTTTAAAACAGAAAATCTTCAAGCAACATGGCGATTTTGTTGTAGCTCATCACTTGAAAAGTCTTCCCATTCTCCACCACAGCCTCCTTGTGGCCTGACAAATATGTTTGGTAGCTGTCCTCTGAGACAACTGCTAATCTGAATCTAGACTATCACTTCTGTATGCCCATTCCAGTCGAGATCACCCTGAGAACCTTTCTCAGTGGCAGACAAAACTACACGGTAGAATGTACCTTCTTTGTCTCAAATTTCTATCAGCTCATTTCTCCAACACCAGAATGGATTTACGATAACTGCAGTGTAAAGCAGTGCAGCAATATGTACAACAGTATAAACCTTGTTTAACAAAAGAGAACCGCAAACTGTGATTTACGCCTTCTCCCTTTTATGACACCTAGCCAGAATTCAATGCAAGAAACTTCTCAAGAAATACAGGAGATCTAACAAAGCCCTCTGAAACACAGTACTAAGTAATTAATAAGTTGCGGAGGAGACAACCCACCAATGGAATTACAGAAAAGAGGTATGAAAAGGGTATAAGGCTCTGTTTTACCTTCCCTTTCAATATTGATATGGAAACCATCAAACGCAGTAGGTGGCTTTGGTGGTAACCAGGTCAGCACCATTTGTACAGGAAGGAAGGAAGGGGGCTCTGGCGTGAGTTTTCCAGATGTGTTGACGTCATTGGTCTCATAATCACTGGAAACCACATTGACAAACTCCTCTTCACCTTCTGATGACTCAGCTTCGTTAGACCACCAGTACGGCTGTGACGTGGTTTCATACTCGGTGCTGTTATAGCGGTAGTCTGGCCAGGCAGCAGATGTGTTGACTGCTGGAATTTCAGGTGGATTGTCAGAAAAATGTCTAAGTTTTTCTTTCCTTATGATTTCTTGTGGTCCCATGAATGATTCTTCTGCAAAATTCCCACTGTGCTCTTCCCAGGTGTTTCTGTTGATTGGTACAATCTGAACAGAAATGTTTCGAGGTGGGTAAGGAACTAAAAGAGAAGCAAGGGTTAGTCTTTTAATAGGTATGTTCTGTGCACCTTTACAATGTGCTAATTCCCCAGAGAAATATTGTTTGCAGAAAAACAATGCATCTAGGAATGTGTTGAAATAACTTGTTCTTATTAAGATTCTCCTCTCTCTTACATTTCCTTATAGCAGAAGTGATTCTAGTGGGATCAAGATAAGTGTAAATTCACGGAAGAATCACGATTCAAGAATATCAGGTTGAAAAGTAGCTGTGAAGTCACAGTAAATCAGACTTCAGTGCTATCAGAGCAGCAAGGCTACTCAAGTGTGAATTTCTGAGAGTGGATCTTCATCTATTTTGTTGTGTCTTCCAGAAAGATCTTGATCATGGAAAAAATACTTCTGTAGAAATGAACTGAAAAACATACGCAAAACTAATATAGAGCATAGCTCATATTTAAAAAGTATGACCTTCACATTGCTGTAGGGCTTTTCATGTCCTTTTAGCAGCCACCTTTTCACAAGCATTAAACATCAGCTTAAATGTTAATATTTGTGAAAGCTTGATCTTAAGATTTGGGTCTCCAGAAGACAAGATTCTGGCACGCAAAGAACTTACTTCAACTTATGCCAGGAGGTGAACACATAGCTTTTTGTCTGCCTCACTGTAATTGCTTGTCTGTCTGCCCTTACGCATGATAAGCATGAGTAGCCTCTGCAAACAATTTTGACTGGCACCTTTTAAGCCAGCACCTTACAACATGCTAATGTGTTCATCTCCCTTGTCCCAGCCATGGCCACTAATACAAAACCAGATGCTACAATCTCATCACAGTTCATGCAAAGAATGAGGGATGGGAAGGCAACAGGAAAGAAAAATGCGATTCTTATGGTTCAGTATCTCCATAACTATATTTAGGATCCTCAGGACAGAACTCAGCTGGAATCAGTTGGCTTTGCTCTGTCCAAGGCAGTGGACCAACATCAGTGTTTTCATCTGAAGATTTAGCCTTCTGATTTTACCACTGGTTCATTTCACTTTGGGCCCTGGAAAATGTCTGTGGTCCAACAGATTAACAGAAAAGTTTTGGGCACCATCCCAGGACCAAATTAAATTAGTTCTGGACACTGAACAAATGCAATTTTCAGCCTTTGCCACATTGCTGTCTTGGAAATTAAAAGTTCATGCTTCAGGGCATAAACTGGCCGCCAAGAGGGGTGACTATGACATCCTTCTCTATGACAGAAGACTGCACAATGAGGAAGGCCTTCTCCATCAGTTTAGCTATGATTCACTGTGCATGGAGACAGACCAGTATAGATAGATCAATAGTATGCTCAGTGCAGCTATTCCTGTGGCTTAAAAATTAATTCCTAGCACAAGGCCTAGGATGTCTCATGTGAAGCAGAATTTATTTTCTAAGAAGCAAGCTTTATAACAGAAACCCTCATGCAAGTTTCCTTTTCCTCTGTGTTGTACACATAACCCTATGTACTAGCTGCAGCATCCTCCTCCCGTGCTCCTGGCCAGGCAGGAACAGCTCCCGCACAGACACTCCTCTCTCTGAGATCAGTCCCCGTCCCACGGCAGAAAGGAAAGCAGCTGTACAAACTCCAAGCAAACAGCATGTAATAATTTTCTTCACCTGTTCTGTGCTGTTTGGGCTCATGCTGGACCCCGCTGTATTCCACTAGCGTGCTTTTGTTGAAGGTTGCTTCTGATACCAACTGAAATGTGATGTTACTGTAGCATATACCTGGTAGCCAGTGATTGAAAACTGTTTTACCTTTAAAGAAATCTGCAGAAGGTTTAAAAAGAAGAAAAAAAAAAGGAAAAAAAAGAGGAAAATACATCAAATATTCACTTTCTGATAATGCAACTGCACATGCTGAGCTGGCAGCGTTTCAGATGTTTAAACATTGATCAGCCTGGTCCGAGACATGAAATTCTAATAATTCAGTTTGCCAACATTTTTCCTGGCTGTCAAAGCCACTTTGCTACCACCCCCCCACCCCCCCAAAAAAACAAACCCAAAACCAAACAACAAACCAAAACAAAACCTCCTAAAAAACAGCACAAGAAACATGAGCTACTTTTCACAGGAAAGGGAACTGAATCTGGCAGCCTGTTCCACGTGACACTGAATATCTCAAAGAGCATCTGACAGTTTCTGCAGACCTTTAACTGCTGCACGCAAAAGCCTCTTTGGTCTTTTGCTGACTGAGGCATAACAGTCGGGGTAGATGTTCAGAGGACCATCCACCATGCAACTGAGTGCAAGCCGCAGTACCGAGAGCTGAGCTCATGTCCACCATCGGTACACGTGCGGGCTGAAGAGAAGTTGCTTAGAGCTATTTGGCTATGGAAAGGAGCGCGTGAGTTGATTAAGTGAATCTCTTAATTCAGGTTGACATTTTTATTAATCAGCAGCTGCAGCATTACAGCCCCTGGAACCAGGTATTAGCTGTAGAAGACAAAAATTACTGCTGGTATCCCTTTTGTTCTCTGGAAAGAGGTCACCTATATTTTGTACTATGATCCAGAATCACACTTCCTCACTTCTGGCACTTCACAGCATTGAAAATGTGATTTCTAGCCCCACCCTGTATTGAAGCAAAGAGACTCCAAATTTTTCTGACCTCATTTTGGAGGTGCGTATCTCCCTCTGCTGACTTTAGAGAGAGCTTACAGTGACCGGACTTCTACTTTGGGAGCCTTAATTCAACGCCTAAAATTCAATCCAGCACCTACTGGGTTGCTCAAAGACATTTTACTGCCACTATGCAATGTTAAACCATTGGGGGTTCAGGGCCTACAGAGTATGCAGGTGCCTTTTTCACCTCTTAGGATGCTTTCCATAGGACAGTCTTATTTATATCTTTGAGATAAATGCTATACTTAAGCTATACTGCGGGGCAAAAAGGAGTTCAATTTTAAACAAATAAAAGAGAAAGCAGAATTTCCTCGTTAGATTGTTTAGATGGTTAGATTGATTGTTTAAATCGTTTAGACTGACTGTCTAGATTGTTGGATTGATTGTTTTTGATTAGATTATCTTAAGAAAAATGAAATTTATGATATGCAGCAGGGTTTGTTAGCTCAGGGACAACACTGAAAGCCACGGTAATATACAGTACTACACAGCATAGTACTATTAGCACTGTGTCACTGTATGGTGATACAGAACTACCAGATTTAAGTCCTGCACCAGGAATCAGGTATACTGAAATGGTTTCCCAGCTCTGGGGCATCGCAGAACTCTCCTATCAACCATTCACCAAAGAGGAAACCTTCTCCAGAGGGAAGGGACTGGGAACTTTTTTAAAGCTTCCAACTGATGCAGAATGTCATCCGGGGATTTCAACCAACATATCTAGAAAGCTAAAACATATCTCTCTCCTTCCCACTGAGTTTCAGGTTTCTTTCCTTTTCTTTTGTTTTTGGATTGTACAGCAGCAGGAAAGATAGAAAAAAAAATGGTGGAAAGTTTTTTTTGGATTTTAGTGTACATGATTATTTGGAAGCACCAGAAATTGGGGATCCATTCCCAGGTTCATTTCAGAACTGAATTAAAAAATCCAAACCGCCCAGGCTTCCTCTAAAATCCAAAAGAAAGGAAGCATCACTAGAACAGGAAGCAGGTTTAAATCCAAAGTGAACCCCTACCTCAGTTTGAAGATCCATCCCTTACTTCATGATACAAAAGATATAATGAGATATAATTAAGATATAAATAAGTAATAAGATATAATAAGACATAAATAAGACATAAAAGACATAATTATAAACAGACGCATTACCAGAAATATAAATCATTATAACCAATACATGCCAAAACCACACCTAAGACCACTATTTATAATGTTTCCAGCAGGTAGCATTAAGTTTTAGCAGAAGAGTTTCCTCCTACCTTTGTACAGCATTGTTCGGTAGTCTTTTCCTTCCCAATAGCTTATATTTACCCTGGTAAAAACATTGTACTTCTCTGGGTACTGAATTTCAAACAACACTCCTGTTTCTGGGGATGGTTTGTAATCATAGATAGAAACACTGCTCACAGGAAGGGGTTCTAAAGGATATACAAATAAAAGGAAAAAAGGAAGAAAGGAACAGATTAATAGGCAAACTGAGTTCTTGACACCCAAGAACAAAACCAAACACCACCAAAGAAACAAAAGGTTTTGCTAGGTATGGCACAGGCACTCTTCAATCTACCAGGTGACATCTGGGGCTTCACAGAGGTCTGGGGCAAAGCTACCTGGGATGTTGTCAAAGCCAAGATTTGTGTGATCCCCCACAAAACAATTTATGTTCTTGATACTTACACTTTAACAGAAAAATTTCCTTATTTGCCATAAAAAGTAAGGTTGAAATAGCCGTTATTATTTAAGCACTCACAGTCATCACCCCAGAAAGGTTTTCATCTTTAATGCTTGCCAATCATGTAGAAGTGCCCAGAAAAAAACAACAAAACACTTGAAATTGCTCATAACTTTGGCATAAATCTGAACTTCTAAGATTAGCTGAGAAGCTTATCAGCGTAACAGCCAAAGGAAGCTACCTGCATGAAGATTTTATATTTTGATATGTATTCATTTCTTTATTTCATGGGTAATTACCCAGCCCCCGTACCTACCATATCTGAGAGGGCCACCGTCTGCAACATATTTATCCACACCAAGCTTCTACAAAATATAGCGGTACCACTACCATTATTTTACAAATGAAGAACTGAGGTACAGAGAAGCCTGGGCACAGAGGGGAGGTAAGCGCAGAACTGCCGATCCAGTGCTCTGACCTCTGAGCCAGGTGGGCTATAAAAAGTATAAAAATGTGTCCTGTGATGTGGCACCTAGACCAGTGTAGTTCCATTGACTAAGGAAAGCTGTGTCTATTCACTGTAGCTGGGAGTCTGGATTCTTGCATATAAGAGAGTCACAGTATTATTCAGCCTCCTTTATCCACACAAAAAAAAGAAAAGAAAAATTTAAAAAAAAATTAGCCTTTTGCTCGATGCTCTCCTCAACAAGAAAAAAAATTATAGCATTTGTTAAGAGGGCCAAGATGATATTCAAAACAAGGTTATAGTGTCAGTTGGAATTTGTCATACTAACATATTTTAATTGAGGTAGTTAATGCACAACACCCTCAGTAATTATGCCTACACCCTTATAAGTATTATTGTGTTGATTTAGTTCCTGCATACTGTAGGGAACAGATTGAAAAATTCAGGCTGTACATTAGCTTGGCCTTGGAGGACTCAAAATTTAAGTTCAAAGTTCTGCTGTTGTAGGCCCCGGAGAAAAACTAATAAAATATTTTTCCCCAAAGTGCATAGAGTCACAATGAGCAAGAGGAAGAGTAGATGAAAGGGAAGAGCAGTATCAGTTTCAAAAGTGGAATTATCACACAGAAGGTGGAATAGTTTAATCAAAGATGGAAAAGCAAGACTGTAGTAGAAGTGAAAATTAAACCCCAGTTAATGGCACAGTATTTTCACTACGGTACCAAGTTTCCAGATGTGATGAGAAGTGGAGGAAAAAACTAACCAAGAACAAAAGCCACAGATGCAAACAGAATCTGTCCCCGAGTCTTAAGAAGTCGTCATGTTGTCACATTTTTAACTTTGTCAGAGCATGGGAATGCAATGTTGTAGGATTATTAAAATGCTTGTCATGGCAAAGATGCTTCATTAGCTTCAGGTAAATATCAGTATATTCATATATTAATCGCTTACAAATAGAAACACCCAATCTCACAGACATCAACAGGCACTTCAGTGATGTGATCTGTGAAAATTTTGGTGACAATTTGTGATAGCCTAGAAATAAATAGGAGTAAAGCAGATCATGGAAAACAAAGCCTACCCTTTTCTTTCTGCTGAGGCTTTTCCCATCGCTTATTCTGAAATAAATAGTTGATCTGACTATGCACATGACCAGAGGGTTCATATCACAGCTCACACAGCACACAATAGTAGTTTAAATGACAATAACAATCTCTAAACAGCTCAACTCTTGCGTGCGGTCATCTTTCATGTTAGCAGGTATGCCCTGGGCTTTATCCTGCTATCTCGTTCACATCTGAGGCCTCCTTATTTCTGAAAGAATTACTGAAACTTTCTTATGTCAGTGATTAAATTAACACATTTATTCCTTCCTACGACAAATCAAATAAAGGATGGAAGTTATATTCATTTTTAATCCAAATGATTTTTCCTCCTGATGCTTTGATTTAATTAACCAATAATTGAATTAAGCGGTAATCACCACAGACTCTCTCTCTTGTTGTTATCTTCCGCTTACTCTCCTCTCCTTGCTCAAGGCTGATGTTAGCAGAGTAGCAGGAGTGATATAATGCAATTTAAAGAGTCTTCCATTATCTTACTTCCTTCAGCACCAAATCTTCACATCAAAAGCTATTTGCACACTGTGAAATTAAAAGGACACTCAGCAGATAAAAATCTCGTTCTGTTTTTCACTTACTAACTGCTCTGAGGGTTATTAAACTTAAGGAATATACAAAATGTCACTCTTCACTGTCTATAATTCAGAGCATAAACAGTCGGGTCTTTTTAATTTTACAGTTTTCAGTATTTAGGATCCAGCTTTTCAAAGATTTCAGTGGCTTTCAAAAAATAGCCTAAATAAAGTGTAATATAATACTTCAAAAAACTTAGAGCTTTATAAATGCTCTGCACTACATTGATGTCTGAAGTCATATTACAGAAGGGACTTGGAGAATTTCAGTGTCCCTCTAATAGCATGTTTAAGGCACTTCTTCATGTGCAATCTCTTTATTTTTAGTCTTGCAGACTATATTAAACGCACATAGACAAGCTTGCAAGATCAAGACCTAAATTTGCCTTTTTTCTCAGAATTTGCCACTCCTATAGCAACTGCTTTCCCATTTTATCTGTTTATGAGAAACTTGATTTGTGTGTTTCTCCTGGACTCTACAGCATTTTGCATTTAGCACATAGCCTGCATTATACAAACATCAAGATAGCATAATAAATGCTGCTAACCTCTTCCTCAAATGCCCTGGAAAATTCTGGATGCTAAATCCTCCATTAATGCATTCAATCTGTGCCAGACAGATTAATGTTTGCCATTCAGGAAAAAGAAAAAAACAAGTACATTGAAAATAAGTACCATATTCCAGTCCAAATCAATTTGGTTTTAATATTCGTAGATCAGGTCACTCTACAGATTCAATTAATGACTGATTACTGTGGTAGCTTAGACGTAATATTACATGCGGGTGATTGAAATGGGACTGAGATCAACTCTCTTGCTTCTCACACTCAAACCCAAATTAATCATGATTTACCTTCATATTGTGACATCTATAAAAAAGAAGCCCCATTACCTGAGTGGTCTAACTCCCATGGATAATCCCCTTTATTCATATGAAGAAGTTGTGAACTATATAACTTTCTCCCCAGGATGACACTGTTTCCATATCTACATAGTTAATGGGAGTAAGTCATAGCTAGGTAAAGCTCCATTATGTTATAAACTTTAGGGATCATTTTATCTCTTGCTAAAAAAGCAACCATTTTTAAGATTAAACAGCTGCTGTTTAATACTTTAGGAACATAATGTTCAACTTTATGATACGTAATAGAGGATACCATGTGCAATTGCTTTTGAAAGGGGAATGTAAGTGAAAGCAGTATCTAAGCAATGATGGTATATACTGCAATTTCTAGATGCCTGCATAAGATGACAAATAAAAAGACAATACAAACTAAAAAAATAATGTTGTCAAAAGAACAAAGGTATATCTGTTGTTCTTGAAGAGATTTAGGTCAATACTTTAAATCAGCCTTCCAACAGATATTACGGCAGGAAAAATTAGTCATATGGTTGCAGTTCTTTTTGTTTCTTTGATTCCGATGGAGGGCTTTTTTCACCTTAGAAAGGGGATAACATGATTTGTTTGCTGGGGAAAGCTGAGCATTAATGAACCTAGGTGTTCCTCTGAGTTACGTTTCAAAATTAGGGCTGCCACAGAAAATCAGCCTTTTTAAAGATGTGCCATTGTCATCCTTAAAGAAAGAAAAGCACCAAGGGCTTAAGTTTTACATTTAATTGGGAAAAAAACCCCAACCCTCTGAAGCTCCTACTTCAACAGCTCTGATCCATTAACGAGCCAGAGGAAAGGATTTGACCTGCTGAATCACTTCCTGCAGCATCTGGCAGAATGACAACTGAGCATTAACTAGGTCTAATGCCAATTACTTTCTGAGAGCTGAAGAGATCAGAGTCCCAGGCAGCAGGCCCGCTGATCTCTTGAGGAGAATATTTTTTGTAGAAGGCACAGAGGCAGAACTCTCCCTAAAGGGAATATATTTTACTGTGATTTATATGTAAGGAATCATCGGCTTTTGAAACAATAAGACATTTACCACTCAAAACTCCTAACCATGAGCTAAAATAAAAGTCAGGCAAAGTTGCTCTTTACCCTCAGAGATCCTGATTTCTCCCATTCCCAGAAGATATACATATTTCCTACAGCACACAATAGTTTTACAATGTACTGCTTTCCCCATTCCTTCAAATGTACAAATATTTTTTCCTTGACAACAAAAATTGACAGTGAATTTGAAAAAAAAAAAAAAAGAAAGGCTATATGAGTATGAGTCACCCTGGGAAGAATAAAACAAGGCTTCAAGCTGGGAAAATGGAGAATGAGTAAGAATTTCAGTCACTGATTTTACATCCAAGCTCTTTATTTCTCTCATAAACTACTTTAAAACCAATTAGTAATAAGGTGGAACTTTCTTTCAAATATTGCAAAAGACTAAATTAATTACATAAATTCTGGAGTTACTTCACTGCCGTCAAAAAGCCAAAACTCCAAGAGCAGAAGAAGCAAGCAAGCTTGAAATAATTGTGTCAGATACCAAAACTACTTCTATCTTTGTCTAGACTGAAAACTGGAAGGAAGGTCACTTTGATAGGCACAACACAACTGCACACACAGGAATCTGGCCAGAACGGTGAGATTCACACATCTATTACTGTGAAAACCATGACAGGGATCTTTAATAATAAG